ATCAAAAGATTCATCTCCTACGTTGGGGAGGGACCTCCAAGGCTAACAAAAATTCGGGAGTCACAAAACGGCTCAGGTTATTAACATCAGCAATGACATCAGCCAGAGCTGAGAAGCAACAGAGCAGCTGCTGAAAGCAATCCCAGATACCACCCTTCCCCCCCCCCAATGCTCTCTCTGCAAAAGTTTGGTTTGGTGCCTAAATACGCGTAAGGAGTGAGTGAGAAGGACACCCCTCGGGAGTGCTGCCACCAAGGAAGGGCTGCATTGTGTCTTTTCCCCTTGCCCCGAGAAAGTACAACCCAAAAGGAAAACCCCCCCCCAAATGCTCTTTCTGCAAAAGTTTGGTTTGGTGCCTAAATACGCGTAAGGAGTGAGTGAGAAGGACATCCCCCGGGAGTGCTGCCACCAAGGAAGGGCTGCATTGTGTCTTTTCCCCTTGTCCCGAGAAAGTACAACCCAAAAGGAAACGAGAGAATCTGGAGAGCAGAGGAGCAGACAGAAGGGACACCTTGTTGGAAGGGCTCCACGGATTCCGTGCTGAAAGTTGGCAGCTCGGGAATAGCGGTGCCGGGGGCAGAAGGCGCGATGCCAGGCCCAAGGTCAGCGCTATACATGAGATCGGCGGCGATGCCAGGCAGGTCAGGCAGATAGGATGGCACGTCTATCTCGGGCACTTGTCCCAAGTCCGGCACGTAGAAGTAGCTTTCAGGCACCTGAAGCCCATCGAAAGAGAAAGAGGGGTTAATGCTGTGGCACTTTCGGTGGGCCAACCAGGACAACACAGCACAGGGTAGCGACTGCCCTCCTTGAGTTTCATTCCACGCATGGCCTTGAACCCCCCAGTCCCAGTTGGCCACTCTTCTCAGATGAACCTGCCAAAATACCCCTATTTAATTCCGATTGCTACCGATGACCTTCTGTCTTCCAAGGCACTTAGCGCTGCTGCTGCTGCTGCCTGGCTGGTTTGCTGTACGGATCTGTCGCGGTGCGTGCCGTTTGCTTTTAAGCTGCTCTGTTGCACTAGATGGTGTTAATGGCAATGTGGTCATGAAGCCAATTATCACAGGGTACCAAGTGGGTCCTCTGCCCAGTAAATACCAAGGCCGGTAACATACTTCATTAGCTCCCTGTTTGGGAATCACCGTCCTTCCTACAGTTCTGCAATTAGTCATCTTGTTAAGTAATGACCACATAATGGCATGCGCACGTGTATCGTTTCCCACAGTCAGCGTTATCCTGTGAGTGGAGATGCTCCCTCCCTTGCACAAATGCCCACCCGCTTTCCTTTTTTGCGTGGGGGAAGGTCTCAACCGAGGCTGACTTGAATCATGATTTGTTTAAAAGCTGATTTGCACGCCTGGCTAAAGCTAACCAGGGTGATATTATTTGGAGAAAACACTGGCAAACAGCACCTGTGGATAATGCTGAAAAGGGGAGAATGGAATTGGGGGAGGGCTGTGGCCCAGTGGCCGAGCCTCTGCTTTGCATGCAGAAGGTCCCAGGTTCAATCCCTGGCATCTCAAGGTTTTTGTTTTTTTTAAAAAAATGGATTAGGTGGTGGGTGATGTGAAAAACCCTCCGTCTGAGACTCTGAAGAACCGCTGCCAGTCTTGAGTAGACAGTACTGACCTTGATGGACCAGTGGTCTGATTCAGTATCAGGGGACTTCATGTTAATTCACGCAGGAGGAAAGCAGAAGGTGACAAGCGGCATGCTGGGGAAGGGGGGGTGAGGGAACCCCAAGGGCTTGTGTGAGGGGGGATCTCATTTCCCCCTCCCCCACTAGTCCTCCCTTCCCTTTCACGAAAGCCGCCCCCGTAGCCTCGTCTCCTTTCCCAGCTTCCCTCTCTCCTTCCCAAGTTAATGGACAGCAGCCAATGAAACAGAAGCAGGTATGCTTATGGCGCTCCCTGTACTCCAGTGGGGAGGTTAGCACAAGGCCCCTGTTGTGGTCGACCGTCATGGCCTGGGAAGCGGGGGACGGGGGTGGTGGGGGAATGGACATCTCTCCCTCCCTCTCCCTCTGGGCAGGCTCACCTGCTGATCCAGCTGCCCCCTTTTCGTGATGGAGAGGGGAGCGTCAAAGAGCTTCTCCTTCTCCGTTGCCAGGGCCACGTGGGTCTTGGTCACTGCTCCCGCCAGAGGGTCGAGGAAAACGTATTTCTTGTACCTGGAGGAGAAGAGAAGCCAGTCAGGCCCACCCTGAGACAGAGCGGAAGGTACCGGCTGTAGAAAGAGGCCCGACCCCAAGGAGGGGGAGGTGACAACAAAAGGCTGTCACTTCCGGACTGGGGAGTGGCTTTGCTGAGACAACACGTTTTCACTTCTGCCCCAGCCATCTGGACGTTCACCTTTCCTGACGTCCCCCAGAGGGAGCCACGCAGCTGATGCCAACCTGATTCCCACACAGGCCCTCCTTCACAGAGAGGCCCAGAAGCTCCACCCCCATTAAGTCAAGATCCTCGTGTAAACAGGGCACAGATGTTTGAAAGAAAGGTCGGGGGGACACACAGGCTCAAGAAGGCTAAAGCAGGGGTCCCGGCAGGCTGCCCGTGGGCGCCATGGAGCCTGTCGACACCTTTCCTGGCACCTGCCAAGTGTTTCTAGGAAGTGGGTGGGGGCCAGGTGGGGCTCTTGCCCAGCAAGGCTTCTGATTGGCCACTGGAGATTATAATGAGCTATGCAGATTTTTTTTAAAAAAATGTTGCTTTGGGGGCAGCAGTCGCCACAGCCCAAGGACCTTGACTGTGTGATTGAAGGTCAGCTGCGGGAGCCATTTTGTGGCTGGCTCCATTTTCCATGGCAGCCATTTTGTGACAGCCATTTGCGCCTGCACCCACCCATTCCAAAGGGGCCCAGGGGCTCAAAAAGGTTGGGGTTGCCTGATCTAAAACAACACTTAGGGCCTCCCCTGGCCACCGGTGGGGGGATTGGGGGTAGGGCTGGGAAACTCCAGGGGATTTGGGGGTGGAGCCTGGGCAGGAGAGGGACCTCAGTGGGGTACAGTGCCCATAGACTCCACCCTCCAAAAAGCAGCCATTTCCTCCAGGGGAACTGATCTCTGTAGTCTGGAGAGGAGCTGCTATTCCAGGGGATCCCCAGGGCCCACCTGGAGGCTGGCATCCCTACTTAACAACGGCTCAAAGTGAGAAGACGGCAACCGAACGCGGCTTATATCCTCCCTTTCATTCTCTGCTTCGTGACCGGGTCACTCTCTCTCCACCGAGCCTGAGATCGGGCTGCCGTAAGGATAAAGCGGAGGAGGGGAGAACCGTTTATGCCACCCTGACCTCCTTGGGGGAAAGGCAGGATAAAATGTACTTAAAAATAAATAAATGCTCCACTGGACCATGAAGCCTCTTAAAAATGTATTTTTCTAATCTTGTTTTTCAGCCACAAAGCTGGTTTATGGGGGGGCGGGCAGGAACTAGTACCAGTGGGATGAAGTTCAGTACAAAATATGCCCTGGGAGCATATCCAGAACGCAGGGAGGGATACCTGGACACTTTTCTGCCATCCTTCTGAGTGACACAGATGGCAGCTGGAAACTGGTGTGTCTCTGTGTGTGGGTATGTGTGATCCAGTCATGACCGGGTGGGGGCTGTTTGGTGTAGTGGTTAAGTACCAGTTTGGAGTAGTGGTTAAGTGTGTGGACTCTAATCTGGGAGAACCGGGTTTGATTCCCCACTCCTCCACTCGCAGCTGCTGGATGACCTTGGGCAAGCCACAGTTCTCTCAGAGGTGTTCTTGAAAAGAGCAGTCTCTGTCAAGAGCTCTCCCAGCCCCACCCACCTCACAGGGTGTCTGTTGTGGGGAAGGGAAGGGAAAGGAAAGGAGTTTGTAAGCCCCTCTGAGACTCCGAGTGAAGGGCGGGGTATAAATCCAATCTCTTCTTCAGCTACTTTCTGCTCTCCTTCCATTGAGGCCAGTTGTTAAATTGCCCCAGTGATGGGGGGCCCCAGGGCCGGGGGCATGGGAGGAAGGCAGAGAGAGCGAGAGCGAGAGAGAGCGCCACTGGAAGGGACAAAGAATCCGAGGAGAAGGACAGAGCGCAGGGACAAGACTTGGCCACCTTCCCTCTCTGTCTCCTCCCCTTCTTTTCACCTTTTAAATATATTTTTATTCCACGTTGAGGCTAATGATCCGGCACCGCGCTGCTTCCTACCAAACAGCTGCTGCTGAGTGACGGCCGTGAGCGTGTTTGATCACGAGGAAGGGAAGACAAAGAAGAAGAGCTGAGTTGGGAGGGGGTGGGAAATCGCCACAGCAAAGACTTAAGCCTGACTGCAAGGAAGACGGCAGGGGAAGGAAACTGGATTTCAGATCCAGGCGGGAGTGAGGGCGGACGGGCGGACGGGCTGCCGCTCCGGAAGGCAGGGCTCCCTCGGAAACAGAGCAGGCGCACGGCTGCATGCGGCGCTGGCAGAGGAGCAGCCACGGCTGTCCAGGCAGGTGCAAGACTTACAGGTTCTCAGTGGTGTTGAAGAGCAGCAGGGAGCTGAGGGAGCTGATGTTCCTGGGGAGGCTCCCAAGGCCTTCCTCGGCGTCATCTTCCTGATGGACTCTGGCGCTGACGCAAACCGGGAAGTACTTCAGCTTCTCCTGGGAATGCAAACAGCATCGCTTTCAATCCCCCCCGGTAGCATCAGTCGCGGCGGGCAAACAAAGGCGGACAGTCCGGGTGGAGGAAGGATGAGCCTCCTCCCAAAGGTCCCCGTTTCCAGAATAAGAAACAGGGCTCTGCCACCTCCCAGCTGTGTCCCAGACCTTATTTCAACCCCAAGAATTCAGCGGGACTCAGCTGAGAACCAAGTCTTGGTTTTGACCTTTAAGGACATTAGCGGTCAGGGTCCTACTTATCTTCGGGACTGCCTCTCCCAATATGGCCCTGGAAGAGTGTTATGCTCTAGTAATAAGAATCTGCTTGTGGTCCCCAGCTCGAGAGAGGTCTGACTGTTCTCGACCAAGGCCAGGTGCCTGATGGAACTCTCTGCTTGAAAATATTTGGGCCCTACAGGATTTACTACCTTTCCGTAGGGCCTGCAAGGCAGGGATGTTCTGCCAGGCCTTCGGTTGAGGACAGCGACAGTTGGCACTCTTGTACCCTCCTTCCAATGCTCCCTCTAAGCTGTGGAGTCCTGTGAGCAAAAATTCTACTTTGTGAGCTACTGGCATTAAAGTTGTGAGCAGGCGATTTGACTACTGCATAAATTAGTTTGCTCTGGAGCCACCCTTCCTGAGCTAAGGGTGGATACTGAAATCATCCGCCATTTTGGACACAGTATCGTTTTTTCTGATGAGTTCTTTTAATATATTTTAATGTTTTAATTTTCCTATATATTGTACTTGCCATTCGTGTAAGCTGCCCTGAGCCCTGTTTCAGGGAAGGGCGGCCTAGCAAATGGAAATAAAATAAATAAGCAAGCAAGCCCGCCCTCTCTGGCCTGCCCCTGCCCTGCCCCTGCCCTGGGGTCATGCAAGAGAGACAGAGATCTCGAAAAATCCATCCCAACTTGCACTCACGGATGATGGGTGCATCCTATTATTACCCACAGTAGAATTGAATGAAAGAAGATGATAAACAGTTACTGAGGATGGGGGCGGGGGCGTGAAGGGGGGGGTCAAGGCCGTTCAAAAATAAGCACCTTCCAACCATTAATATGCACATATCAACATCTAATTTTCCCCGCCTCGCAGACTGCCGATGTGCTTGCAGGCGTCACTTTCCGCCCTCTCTGAGCCCCGGTGGTCACGGCGACTTTCCTTCTGTGAAATTCAATTAGCACTGGAGGCAGGCCCGCCTGTTGCTCTCTCCGGCACAGCGACAAGGACACCGGATATGAAATATAGGCCGCTATCTCCCAGTAAATCGCAGCGTTTGAGAGGTCTTGCTTCAGCTATCACGGGCGCGGCAGTGTCTTTCACATGCATCCTGCCTTTAAAACAGGCGTGGCTGGGGGGGGGGGGGGGGGGCTGGTATGCAGAGCTCCGATGCTGAATCTGCCAGCTTGCGCACGTTGAGAAAGCTACGGCAGGGCAGTAGCTTTCAAACCTTTCCTGGTTTCCCCCACCCATCAAATGGAGCATAAACCGGAAATGTAGAATTGGGTCCTTTTCTTCACTACCGACTTTCACTCCAAAATAGCGGTGCGAGACAAAAAAGGGAGCGTGACAAGCAAATTCAAAAACAGGAAAAGCCAAACCATAAACTGAGAAGGCCACACTCTGCTTGCCTAAGAAGTGGGGTGGGGTGGAAAGTGCCATCAGGTCAAAGATGATTTATGGCGACCCCCCGTAGGGTCTGCAAGGCAAAGTCTGTTCAGAGCTGGTTGGCCATTGCCTGCCTCTTTGTCACGACCCCGGGTGTCCTTGGCGGTCTCCCATCCAAATACTAACCAGGGCCAACCCTGCTTAGCTTCTGAGATCTGACGGGAGTGGGCTAGAGCCTGGGCCATCTAGATCCGACCCAAGAAGCAGCTGCCTTATACATACCATGTTTCCCCGAAAATAAGACACTGTCTTTTCTCAAGAAGACACACTAGGGCTTATACCACAAATGCATAGAAATCCTGCTAGGGCTTATTTTCGGGGGATGTCTTACTTTCGGGGAAACAGGGTACAGACTCAGGCCAACGGCTCCCCCAACCCAGCGGCAACTGCAGTGCCTCTGCTCCTCTTCGCTCCATCAGGCAGGCCTTTCCCAGTCCTGCTTCGCAAATCTTTTTAGCTAGAGGTGCCCCAAAGCCTTTACAAATGCAACACTAGTACCCTCATTTTTTGCCACTGAACTTTGGCCCTTCCCACTCTATCGCTTCGAGATGCACTTCAGCGTCCTTGACATTTCTCTCTCTCTCGGTTAGGCGCTGGAAAGATCAAGTGCAGCCCACCGGGAATCGCTCTGTTGAAATAGACCGGGGGGGGGGGTTGTCACTCAGATCTCTGATGGGTTGATAGGGGATGCTGCATGCAAGGGATAGCACGCAGCATGGTCTGTTGTGCCCCATTTTGAGAGCCACCCCATTGTGCATTTTGAGAGCCACCCCATTCTTCACAGTTAGGGCTGCTGGGTCCTCCCTGGCCTCCGGGCAAGGGTTGGGAGCTCCAGATCAGGACACTCTTGGAGATTTAGGGGTGGAGCCTGGGGAGGACAGGGACCCTGGCAGACGGCCAAATATCTCCAAGGTCCAGCATAGCAAAAGGGAAGAAGTCCTTCCCCTCGTCTGCTGCTTTCTGTGCCATCCTCAAAGAAGCCTCTTCTTTCACAACCAGCCTTACACCCAGCAACTTTTGACGTTATGAGAACACCAAGCAGCCAGACGTTTAGACTGACACCATCAACTGCATTCCCCCAGCAATGTTTCCTCTAAACTGTGGAGTTGTGTGAGCAAAAAAATCTACTTTGTGAGCTACTGGCATTAAAATTGTGAGCGAGGAACTGGCTACTGCATCAATTAGTTTGCTCTGGAGCCCCCCTTCCTGAGCGAAGACAAAAACATGGGAGCCAGAGGCTAAAAAAACTGTGAGCTAGCTCACACAAACTCAGCTTAGAGGGAACACTGCTGGCATCCCTATTCACAGTGCAATGTCCGGCAGTCCTGTATTTGTGAAGCGAAGAGCACTCTCAGGGTGCAGGATGGGAAGTGGTCCGATTAGAGCTGCCAAGGGAATTTGTAGCACACCTGGACATCGGTAGGAGTTCAGGATCCGTGTTTTGGTGTAGATTTTAGTTTTAGTGCTTTAAAGCTACTCCAAGTCGATCTCAGGCAGCAAGGCTGGGAAAGAGCTCTGCCCCTGAGACCTTGGGAAACTGAAGCCGCTGAGACGAGGCGGTCCTCCTGAGCCAGAAGGATCAATATGCTGACTCCAGCGAAGCCCGTTTCATTCGGCAGTCTTCAAAGGCACCAATACCACGAGGACGAGAGCTGCCTGCCAGGTAGGAGGATCCCGTGTTCTTCTGACCGGAGGCAGATGCCCTCATCTAGACAGCCTTCCTCACTGGCAGGTTCCAACTAAATTCTGCTTTCAGCCGTACAGGGAAGGCTTAACAGGTGGTGCCGACAGCCCTAATTGGGGATATTAAGAAGTGCTCCACACCCCTGGAAACTCCGCTCGCCACCCCTCCCCTGCCGGTTCCGAGACCAGCCCTGAAATGTGCATGCGGCTTTTGACGAGGCAGGCTCTGGCATCCATTAAACGGGAGGAAAGTATAAAGCACTGAATTATTCAGGGCGGCTTTATTTTTGGGTTCACTGGGAAGTGGGAAAGCAAGCAGCCTAGAAAGAGCTTTGTTGAGCCTTCCTGGGTTTTTCTCCGTCTGTTCCAGGTCCCCAAAGTAGGTGTTAGCCTCATCCCAGGACAGCAGCAGCACACACTAGACCCCCTCTTGGGGACAGGACCAGTCCCCCGGCTATGACAGTTTTGAAAAACAATTTATAACACTACGGCCAAGCTGCATTCTTAGCCTTGGCCATTTCCATACACTGGCTGGATGTTCTTCCCCGGCCCCCCCAGGGAATCACAGGAGCCGGGGAAAGTGCCAGCTGTATTTTAACTCACTCACTGAAGGGAACCTATGGCCGGAGGGCCTGTGCACACGCTCACGCTGCTCCGATATCTTGCAGACAGCCGGGCACTTAAACAGACCACGTGACGTTGCGGCAGATGCTGGGGTGTCCCAGAACACAGTTCCAAAACCACTGCACCAGCGCCACGGCCGCCAAGAAGGGTGCTGGGTAGAAAGCTCATCTTCCTTGTCTCCTTCCTGACATGTAGGGCTGTGATTTGTTTAGGAGGCACCGTTGTAAGAACGAATTCTCTCCCACCCCCACTACCTTCAGCCGGGAAAGCTGGTACAACTCAGAAGACCGTACCTACACACCCTGTGCTGCTCACCAGTACTGAGCGGAGGTGACTTCTAGCAAGGCGACCTTCGATCTCTGCAGTACCTTTCCCCTCCCGCCACTGTTTAAGGCTTTTGCGGCCCTCTACCCCTCAAGTCCCGAGCCCAAGAGAACTCTCGCTCTTTTCAAGACTTCCTCACCCAGGAAGGTCCCTTCGCTCCTCCCGTTCCTTACCTGCAAAGCTTTCTCATCTAATGCTCTGTGCTTGCTCTGAATCTTGCGCCTTGGTCGCTTCTGGCCATCCGGGTCTTCTGCACCAGCAAAAATGGAGGCATATTCTTGCAGCCGGTCTGGAGCCGGGTATTTAGCACTGGAGAACACCTTGGCAGATAGATGAGGGTGGGAACAGAGAGAGAGAGAGAGAGAGAGAGAGAGAGAGAGGGAATATGAACATAGCATCCTGGAAAGATGTACTCTGCCAGCACGTATTCAAGATGGCAATGGGAATCCACCAATGCACCGGAGAAGTGACATCATGTTCACTCAGAAGGAGGAACTATGGATGTGGTACTTGATGTCCATCTTCCAGTTTCAGTCCCCCCCCCCCACAAAGCAGTTTAAATTTGCAGTGGAGCGGCAACAACAAGCATCCAGTACCTTAATCGCCTTCTTGCTGCCCTTTATCTTGTCAATTTTGGCTTGAGCTAGGGTGACTCTCTCGTTGATTGCCCGCAACTGCGTCCGGCTGGCCTCCACTTGTTGGGAGATCCTAAGAGACAAAGATGACAAGAGTCCGACTTGCAATCAAACATCTCGATAGTTCTTAGGACTACAGTCCTCGATAGAGGTTGCCCCCAGTTATCTACACTTCGGGGTGAGCGAGTTTCCCTAGCTACTGAAGCCAACTGGAATTCAAAAACAATCGTTAAATGGAGGAAAGAAGAAGAAGAAGAAGAAGAAGAAGAAGAAGAAGAAGAAGAAGAAGAAGAAGAAGAAGAA